GACAACAGAAGCAGAAGGGAAATGAGCGAGGGAGTGAAGATTGCCTAAGACACGGTCAATCTTTTTTAGAAGACCTCCCGTGCCATTGGGGTTTTTTAGTCCAGGTAAAGTACAGGCCTTTGAAATTGATATCCTCAACCTCAAGGTGACGGACACACTCACGAAAATCTTCCATACCACGATTAGGGCCCGAGATGCTAGAGGAGCTGTCCTTCGGGTCAAGGGAAACATTGAAATCTCCCATGATGAACCATGGGGTGTCCTTAACGACATGCTTATGACCCTTAAGAGAAGCCCATAACTAGCGACGAGCGATATGGTAATTATCCGCATACACAACAGAAAGGTATATAATCTTAGAGGAGTCCCAAATCTTGACCTGAAAATGCATCACCTGGTAGGTGGCATCTAAAAGCATCATGTCGACATGGACGGGGTTCCATGCGATAATGATACGGGTACCTCTAGAGCAAAGGGAGCCATTAGAGGTCCAGGGCCAATCTCCAAATACTCTCTCATAGATGGGAGGAAGACTAGACACAGGGGCGCAAGACTCAAGAGCAGCACAGATTTGAAGGTTAGAATCCCGAATGAGATCTCTTAAGGCTCTCTGATGGGAGAGATTACAGAGACCTCGGGTATTCTACGAGGCAAAGCTCGTCATTGGGAAACAAGGGAGGGGGTGGAGTCCATCTGCTCGGGCTCCTAACATGTCATCGGATCAACCTGGGGAAGATGAAGATCATGGGCAAGGAATCAGGCGGTGTCGCCATTGTCCGACTCAACCTCAATCATATCGACCTCACCAAAGAGGTCATCCTGATCAAGGAGGTCATCCTGATCAAGGAGATCATCCTCGGTATCAAGAGGGGCAGAGGAGGGAGGGAGGAGGAGGAAAACCCAGGGTCTTTAGGAAAAGACGGGTCAACAAGAGCAGAAAACCGATTAGAGGAGGGAGAGGGAGCCTTGGATTGCTTCTTGGGATGAGGGGGTGTGATAGAAGGCTTAGGGGATAGATGGGAAAGGATGGGTGGCCGAGGTGGATAGGGCGAGGGGCTAGGGACTAAACCCATGGGGGGAATTGAAATAGGGGGGACCCCTTGGGAGGGGCTCGATCTTTGCGCCTTTTGAGCTTCTTGACGTGGGGCGGCCAACATCTGTTCCTTTTTCCTTTCAACAGCTTTCTTCCCGTTTGGTGCAGGGGGACGTGTCTCCTTCTTATATTCCTTCCGCGCAAGCGGTGTCGGAGCCTTTGGCTTTTGGTTTTGCTTTTGAACACGAGTCTAAAATCCCTCACTATCTATTATAACTTTCTTTCCAGTAGTGGATTGCTCATTTGAAGGTTTCATATTCATATCATTCTTATTTATAGCATGAAGACATGTAGAATCAGAATGACCAAAGATATGACAATTAGTACATATAGGGGGTTTCCATTCATATTCAACACGCAGAGAATATAATGTCATGTCAAGAGTGTCAGGGTCAGATATACGGACTTTGACCTCATCAATCCAACTATCCCTAAAAGGAACCTCAAGCAAGACGCGAGCAAATGCAGATTTTCCAACAGCATACTTACACATATTAATAGTCCATGAGTCCATAGTTAGGGGGATACCAATTTTACTTGCTATATGGCTAAGGCCCTCATCATTCCAAGCATCATATGGTATATCATGTATTCTAACCCAGATATGAATTTTATCATGCAGATTGGAATTCAAATTAAGTCCCGGCCTCCATTTTTGAATAAATATAGGAATATTTTTTAAAGGTCCATGGGCCATTATCAATAACCTTTTGGATACCATCAATTGAACTGAATTTGAACAAGAAAATTCCATGGCCATTCAAGAGAACATCCTCAATTCCATATTGAGACCACATTTTTTATGCATAATATCAGACAACTGGAAATGGGAGTTCTTTTACCAAAGAAATATCAACATAAGGTCTTAGCATACGTTGCACAACTTTTTTTTAACAACCGAGACCGGAATATCAATAGGGGTGTTCACATTCTCGCTAATATTAGGAATAAAACAAAAAAAATCATTTGCATGCTTATTTGAACTACTAATAACATGAGCAAACGAATTAGGAAGAATATTAATATATTTACCATTCCAAACGGTTTTAGTTTTGAAATTCATTTTACCATCCTTTTGGGCTTTAAGAAAATTTGGGCTAGAAGGAATTGAAAAAGGCTAGAATTAGCATAAAAAGGAGAAGAAACATTTTGGGTTTTTTGGCTTTTTGAAGCATTAGATTTTTGTATTTTAGACTTTTCAACTAAAGAAGAACTAGCAGCAAGATTATCATTAAACGGCAAATTAGACACAGTAGCATGTAAAGGGGGGTTGGGGGTTGGGGGCGGGGGTTTTGAGAAGACATAGGAAAATTCAGTTTAGAAACAGTAACGTCCAGGGGAGATTTTTGAAAACTTTTTGAAACATTAGGGGGGGGGGAGCCGAAGAAGGAAACTTACATGGGCTAATTGGTGACGGACCGAGAAGGGAAGCATGTTTTGCATTATCAAATTTTAATTGGCGTTTTGGGTTGCGACCATATTGCATTCCAGTTGGGCTTCCATTCAGACCATATATAGAGGATGAAGGTTGTCCATCAGTTGACTTTGGACTTGTTTGAATCCCGTCCACCAGGGAAGGATTAACTTGGGAGTTATCCTTGGGCTTAAAATCAGCAGGCCTTGACACAAAGGAATTATTATTATGAATTGGGATCATTTCCTTTTCATTTATAGAGGCAGTCTGTAAGTCATCGTAAATTATTCGGCCTTTAATTTTCGTAGACTCATCTACATTTTCAGAATCTTCCATCATTGAGTCCAGCTGAATCAGTCCATTGGACGAAATATCTATTGGGGCATGTCCAGTAACAACATGGCATTCATCTTCCTCCATCTCCATGCATGTTGCCACCTCACCATTTTTCCCAGAAGTGGATAAGTCATATGCATTAAGTTCAACGGTCGTAGCATTACGTGGGGACTCCATGCTCATCTTTTCACTAAGAATAATACGACCGTTGCTATTTTGAATTTTCAAATGATCCACGTGGGCTTCCATACGCGGCCTCGATCTTTCCTTAACCAGCTCACAATCTTTTCCTCCTTATCCTTCGAGAATAAGGAAATGTAATCGTCCCTATTTTCGGAACATAGGAAGTTACCAAAATACATCACCGGTTGGATACTCGTTGGCGATAGAACTAGGGACTTTTCTGGCAAGTCTTCAACCATATTCAACCTTTTTTCCAGAAACCTCCCGAGTCTCCAATCTTTTCTTTTTCAGCAACATTCCACAATGGCGTGAAGCATGAGTAGGAGATACTTGATTCTTACAGATAGCAGCAGAAAGGCCAGGACTTACAGGATTAATATTCTGAAAATTCTTAGCGAACGATCCATCAACAAGAACACTTCTTTCTTCCATTTCTTGTCCTTTTTCCATAGAAATATCTGAGTTTGGCAGATGAGTTTTGGCCAGAAGAACATTGCTTTCAACCGCAGTAGATTTCTCCTTAACCATAGACTCTCCAGAATAGATTTTCCTTTCACGTGAGTGCTTCATAGCAGATGGAGGAACCAGCGATTCGCCAGCAGCTTCAGACTTGTCTTTATCTTTTATCCCTTCAGTATAGCGTCCTCCACGACAATTTTCCAAGACCGAAGGGATTGTAAGCGATCCTTTTTTCCATTTTTTCCATCTAAATCCTCCAAACCTGCACAAAACACATTAGATTCAACAGAAAAAGTAAGGGGATTACAACTAACCTTCGGAGCTTCTTCTTCACTAGAAACACATCAAGAATTGATTGGAGAAATCCGTGTCTTGCGCAATAAACTGTTTCTTTGATTTTCCATTCTCTCTCATACGAATCATTCGGTTGCATCGAAAAGATAGGCCATTCTTCATGAGCATTCGATTGTTATTTGGACTTCTAATATTAGGAAAATGATTTTTCCTTGTCTTCCTATGCATAGATTTCTTCATAGGAGGTTGAAGATCTTCCATGGAAATCAAGAAGGATGCGAACGAATCAAAAACTCAAAACTCTAGAGAGAGAATTCTAGAGACAGAAAATTCTAGAGAGAGAAAAAAATTCGACCAAATGAGAAGCCTTAGGGTTTAGGGTTGGTCGAAACTCAAAGCCAACGGGTCACAGGGGTTTGCTCTATGCGGCCCGAGCGTGCTGGCCATCAAAACTCTTGTGATGCATCCACAATTCAAATGAGATATTTTCACCAGAAAGAACATTAAAGTCTTTCTTAGATAAACTTGCATTCCCTTTTATTTACAAATATATCATTTTAATTTATACCTTTCATTTTCTTGATCTAATGATTATTAGATTTTTTTTCTTAGTTTTTCATTTATTATTTTTTTTTGAGGTTTTCTCCTGGACCTCTCTTTCTCTCTCTATATATATAATGAACATTATTGAACTTGTTCTTTTACAAAAAAAGTTGCCTATATATACAACAAAATTTATGTAAAAAATTTCAAATTAATGACCACATCAATAAAAATACCGAGTTGTATATCATATCATTTGCCATGTGAACATTGTAACTTGTTAATGGTTAAAACCGGTAATCTGAGCATTTAAATATTTGATATTTCACATCTCAGATACCAAAATAAATGTTCTCAAAATACGTTTTACCGATAAACACTTACTCGAACGGCCCTTTAGTGTTTGACAGCAGCACTGTACTTACCAACTAAGAAGAAACCAAAGGAATCACAGACGAAAACTAATACAAACCCAAAAAATCTCATACAAAGCAAGGTCTAGGAAAGATGGGATGTTCGTAAACCTTCCCTCTACCCTGATGTGTAGAGTCGTTTTCACAAAAACTCTCGACCTGGAAAATGGTTTTTAAAATAGGATTTTTCGACCAAAAGATCAAGTTTTAGTAATCAGAAATAAAAACACATGATAGAAAGGCAGGTAAAAGAAAAGAGTAACATGAAAGAATAACAAGGCACATTTAAAAGTACGTTGATTGTATTACCATTTAAAAGGAAGTTGTCTTCAAAATACATCATCATCTCAAAACAAAATTCATTCAATTTCTTGAATAATTCTGTTTTTACGTACGGACTTCCTTGGCATCAAACTTCCTGGGGCACTGTGAGCTCTCCTCCTGTCTTCCTTCCTCTTCTCCGCATCAGCCATAGTACGTCTAAGCAAACCCGCCTTGTATATTGGTTTTGGCAAGTGCCTATGCCTGCATCAACCAAAATCATCTCATTATACCATCATCTTGTTTAAGTTTTATATTACATTGCAGCTATTTGATAAAGAAAATATATATACATATGTATATATATATATATATATATATATATAATACCTCAATATACGTTTGACCTCAGGAAGGTGCTTGTAACGATTCTTCACAGCCTCCATATATTCGTGCTTCTTGCGTTCTCGTGGTAGAATCTGCACACAAAGTACAAAATCGCATGCTTTAATAATAGACCACCATACACATAATACCATTAATAACAACAAAGCCAGTTTGATGAAAATGAAACCAAACCATGCTCTTTCTATATAATAACATTGATGGATAATTAAACTTACAACACCAAGTTGTTCGGATGCCTTAGCCTTCCAAAGTCGAAGATTGGTGTCATCACTACCCGAGATAACATAACTTGCATCACAACTGAACTTAACACAAAACACCCTGAAATAATATCGAAAAGTCAGTATTATCATGTGAATAATAAAAAAAGATATAATAAATGGAAACATGTTACAGGAGAACTTGGGGGTTCTTTGGTTGGTTTTCCATTAAGTCTTGTATGGATCTATGGATAAAGCCTTGTCTGTATATATTGGGAGGGTTTTGTTTGAGAGGATTTTTCCATGGATGGAAGGAGCGTGTTTTTTATTGGGAGGGATAGGTCTGGGGAAAAAAACTCGTCTTTAAGCATAAAGCTCCCCAGCCGCTTTCTATATCATTAAGCCACTACCAAACACCATTAAGCTGCTAACAAACAGGCCCAGAGAGAGAGGGGCAATACCTTTGCATTCTTTTAGTGTGATATATTTCCCTGCTATGTCCACCATTGTATTGAAAAATCCTTACCTACAAAAGTCGTGTGAGTAGAAGAATGCTTTCGCCAATTAACGGGGTGCAATGTACAACCAAAAAGACGCTTACTGTTCTATCATAAGATCCAGTTACAAATTCACGACCTGTTGGTGAGTAATCAATATCCAAACTGCAAAGTTAACACAACCTAATGGTCACCGTCTGAAACATAAATAGATATTGGTTTACAAAGAACAGAGTAGCTCTCTTACACTGCAGACACGTGATCTTTGTGCACACATTTGGCTTCTTCCAGTTTTCTTGCATCAAAACTGTAACAGTTGCAATTTTCATTTGCCTGCAAGTTTTAGTTCACCAGAATAAAGATTCCATAAAAGTTGTTTGTTCAATTTTCTTGATTCTTGTAATATGTTTTTCTATTTGTTTTATGATTTTATTGGTTTGTGGGTGTGGGATTCATATGGTGCTTACCGCAGTGAAGTTCATGGGCTCCATTGGATTCCAAGCTATGGAATTTGTTTTTGTCTGCATAAATGAAAAGTGAGTTGATTTGTAGTAAATAATCGGAACATCTATGAACGGTTCTACAACTAAAACAGCAACATATAAACATTATAGTAGCATCAGTTTATCAGCAAGCTCATCCACAACTCTTGTAGAATACAAAGAATGGAAAGAATGTCACTGAAGAAGTCGACAAAGACGAACACATCGTATAAAAGCAGGATGGTTAAAGTAGAGAGCTGCCACAGGACTGCTATGCGACAAGAAGGTTTCATTAAAACTGAAAGGCAAATCCTATAGGGTAGCCATCCAACCAGCTACGTGATAAGCCTCCTATTCGTTTTGCTAACAAGAGGAGGGTCTAAATAGTTAAAAGGGTCTTAGTTATTAATGTAAATAAGAGAAGAGTATTTTTGGTACTCTTCGGTGGAATAAGGTGCGTGAGAGAGTTTCCTTTAAGTGGGGAAAAGTTGTTAGTGGTAGGCATTCTGTTTTGTACATTCAAACTGAGTGAAAGCTCTTAGGGAGAGAACCAGACCTCTCGAAAGTCTGGAACCTACCATTTTTTGTTTCCATTTCAATGTACAATCTTTCAATTGTTACCAATTTACATCAAATTGGTATGAGAGCGGTAAGATCCAGCCATGGCGACAAGGACTGCGGCAACAAGAATTGAAGATTTAGAAAGCAGCGTCGGTTCAATCGAGAAAAGTTTGGAGCGAATTGCACAGCAAATTGAGAAATTAAGCAACGAGGTGGCTAGTAAATTGAATTCGACAGGTTCATCAGATGGAGAGGATGCGGATGAATCAGGAAGATCGAAGAAGGAATCGAGTCGATTCCTAGCTGTGAAAGGCCGAAAACTTGAAATACCAGCGTTTGACGAAAGCGATCCCGATGGTTGGGTTCTCAGAGCATAACGTTATTTCTCTCTGAACCGATTATCACAGGAGGAGAAAATTGACGTTTCTTTCATGGCGTTTGAAGGAGCAGCTCTGAAATGGTTGCAATGGGAGAATAGACGTCATCCAATTTTGCATTGGGAGGATCTTCGTAGACTGATTTTGCGTCAATTTCGATCAACGGCGACAGGAACTCTGTGAGAACAATTTATGGCCGTTAAACAAGAAGGCACGATGGAGGAATATAAGATGAAATACATAGAGTTAGCTGCACCGTAAGAAGGAATTCCGGAGGAAGTGTTTATGAGTCAATTCATAAACGGTTTGGAGAATTCAATCAAGGTAGAGGTGCGTCTCCTAAATCCAGTAACGTTAGAGGAAGCGATGGAAATAGCAATGAAAATTGAAGTGAAGAATGTTGTGATTGCAAAGGAGAGATCGATCTCTAGATCGAAGAAATCGTTGTCAATGTTTGCTGGTAATATGAGTATCTCTGGAAGTACTAATTCAGGGAATAATTCGAATAGGACGGCTAATTCAACAAACAGAGCGGGATCTGAGTGCAGAAGATTGTTCGATCAGGAGGTACAACAGAGGCGAGCCTTGGGCCTCTGTTATCGCTACAACAAGAAATATTCACCGGGCCATAAGTGTAAGAAGAAAGAATTGAATGTTCTGCTGATTCAGGAAGAAGAAATAATTGAATCGGGTGACGATAATGACGAAAATACAGCGTTAGACGCAGTTGATGTGGTCGAGGTGGGTCAGGAAGTGGAGGTTCATCTTAACTCGGTGGTGGGATTAACGAATCCTAAAACCATGAAAATGGAAGGATTCATTGAAGACCAAAAGGTTGTAATCCTCATCGATAGCGGTGCAACGCACAATTTCATTTCGAAAGAGATTGTTGAAAAATTGAATCTCAAGGTCAATAAAACAAAGAAATATACGATAACGATGGGGACGGGGAATAAGGTGATGGGAGATGGAATTTGTAGACATGTTATTTTGACGGTGCAAAGTGTGGATGTTGCCGAGGATTTTTTGCCAATTCAATTGGGTAGTAGTAATGTGATTTTGGGGATACATCCAACGTAGGGAGCAACCTATACTAACTGGAAGCAGCAGCTTATGAAGTTCACTGTCGGAGGAAAGTCGGTGGCATTGAAAGGTGATCCAGCTTTGGGTAAATCTTTAGTTTCATTGAAGGCTATGGGAAAACTAATCCAACAGGAAGGTCAAGCAGTGCTAGTGGAGTTTGGGGCTTGTATGTTGATTAGTGAAGTGTCCCAAGAAGTTTTACTAATGGTACAAACTGTTTTGAAAGAATTTGATGATGTGTTTAATATGCCGTAGGGGTTACCACCGATGAGAGGCAAGGAGCATGGGATTATTTTGAAAGAGGTTACAGATGCAGTTAATGTAAGGGAGATGCAGTTAATGTAAGGCCCTATCGCTATCCTCATTATCAAAAGGACAAGATCAAAAAATTGGTAAAGGAGATGCTAGAAGCAGAAATTATACGACCGAGCAGCAGCCCTTTTTCAAGTCCGGTATTGTTAGTTAAAAAAAGATGGCAGTTGGAGATTTTGCATTGATTATAGAGCTTTAAACAAGGCAACCGTTGTAGATAAATTTCCTATATCGGTTAGAGATGAGCTGTTGGATGAGCTGCATGGTGCTCAAGTGTTTTCTAAGCTTGATTTAAAATCAGGATATCATCAGATTCGTATGAAGGATGAAGACATTCAAAAAACCGCGTTTCAGACGCACCAAGGTCACTACGAATTCAAGGTAATGCTCTTTGGTTTAGTAAATGCACCATCTACATTTCAAGGGCTGATGGATGAAGTTTTCAAGAATTGTTTGAGAAAATTTGTGCTAGTTTTTTTGATGATATATTGGTTTACAGCCGATCAATGGAGGAGCATCTTGGCCATTTGAGACAAGTGTTTGATTTGTTGTCTCGTTATAAATTGTATGCCAATAAGAAGAAATGTGAATTCGGTCGGGAGCGTTTGGGGTATTTAGGCCACATCATTTCTAGTAAAGGAGTAGAGGTTGATGATTCTAAAAATAAGGCAATACTAGATTGGAAAGTGCCTCGTACAGTGTCGAAATTAAGAGGTTTTCTAGGATTGTCAGGATATTACAAAAAGTTCGTTAGAGGACATGGAGTTATAGCTAGTCCTCTCACGGATTTGTTAAAGAAAAATTAATTTGGTTGGACCGAGGAGGCACAAATGGCTTTTGAAAAGTTAAAGGAGAGTTTGTCCTCAGCTCCGGTGCTTAAACTTTTTGATTTTTCATCAGATTTTGTGGTTTGGGGGTTGTTCTGATGCAGAACGAACCGGTGGCTTACTTTAGTCAGGTGCTGGGGACGAGAGCTCGACAGAAGTCGACGTATGAGAAGGAACTTATGGCTATTGTTCTAGCAGTTAAAAAATGGAGACCTTATTTGTTAGAACAACACTTTACAGTTCTCAGCGACCAACAAGAGTCTGAAATACTTGTTGGAAAAGCGTGTGGTGGACCTGAATATCATAAATGGATGAGTAAGCTGATGGGATACAATCTCTCGATTGTGTATAAACAGGGGAGTGCAAATAAGGCTGCTGATGCACTCTCCCGTAAGGAAGAAAGCTTGGAATGTTAAAATTTGAGTACACCATCATGGAGGCAGTGGGAAAATATTAAAAAAGAGCTGGAAAAAGATGAGTTCTTGATGAAAATAAAAGAAGACTTGTTGGAAGATGCATGTGCGCATAAAGGGTTTGAGTTGTAGCAAAATCTGTTATTCTTTAAAAGCAGATTGGTGGTGCCTAGGAAATCAAAGATTATTTCCTTATTATTTGAAGAATTTCATGCGACACCCATTGGTGGTCATAATGGGTAGGAAAGAAAATATCAAAGAACGGCAGCGGAATTATTCTGGGTAGGCATGAGAAAGGATGTGTCAGATATGGTGAAAGAATGTGAAATGTGCCAAGGAAACAAAGTGTTAAGTGGGTCTCCTTCAGGTCTGCTACAACCGTTATCACTTCCGACTACGGTATGGAACGATATCTCGATGGATTTCATTGAGGGATTGCCTACTTCGGAAGGAATGAACTCTATTCTGGTGGTGGTCGATAGGTTCAGCAAGTACGCTCACTTTGTGGGACTGAAGCATCCATTTACAGCTCATTTCGTAGCAGAGATTTTTGTCAAAGAAATTGTACGCTTGCATGGCATACCAAGTTCTATAATCTCTGATCGTGATAAAGTGTTCCAAAGTATATTTTGGAAAGAGTTATTCAAGCTGGAAGGGACAACTTCGAAGTTCAGCACAGCCTATCATCCACAGACGGATGGGCAGACAGAAGTTGTCAGCAGGGGGCTGGAACAATACTTAAGATGTTGGATTTCAAATCGACCTCGTCAATGGAGTAGATGGTTACCATGGGCTGAATTGTCGTATAATACAGCTTTCCATACAGCCCTTAAATGTTCTCCTTTCAAAGTGTTATAAGGCCAAGATCCACCCTCGCTATTGAGATATAAGAGTTTCTCTTCTATAGTCCAATCGGTTGATGTCGAATTGATGAATCGGGATGAGATTTGGGATGAAGTGAGAATGCATCTCTTGAAAGCTAAATGCAGAATGAAACAACTTGCTGGTTTGAAAAGGACAGAAATGGACTTGGTTTCGGGTGAGTGGGTGTTCTTGAAATTGAGACCGTACCTTTGGTTAAAGGGAACAGCCCAAAATTGTTGGCAAGGTTCTATGGTCCTTATAAAGTGTTGGAGAAGATTGGTAAAGTCGCTTATCATTTGGATTTACCGAAGGGGGTGAAGACATCCTGTTTTCCATGTGTCTCAACTTCGAAAAGCTGTGGGAAATTGTGCATCTTCGAAAGACATTCCAACTCAATTAACTGAAGAGATGGTACTACAAGTGGAACTTGAATCTCTGTTAGATGCAAGAGCAATGGTGCAAGGTGACCCAGGAAGCTTAGAAGTTTTGGTTAAATGGAAGGGGTTATCAGATTTTGAAGCTACTTCGGAAAATTTAGAAGCTTTGATTCAACAGTTTCCCAACAGTAACCTTGAGGACAAGGTGAAAGTTTTGGAGGGAGG